CGGAGGGAAATGAGGGTCCCCTGCCCAGGCCTGACACCTCTGGCAGAGGCATCAGGCCTGGGCAAGCTGATGATCCTGCGATTGGAGGGGGATGGGGGTCAACGCCTGAGGGCTCCCAGTATGTGAGAGGGGACAGGCTGGGCTGAGGGACACCCCCCCCCCCAGCGCCCACCCCAGTGCACGAATTTCGTGCACCGGGCCCCTAGTCAGTAGATAAGAGGATTAGAAAGCTGTGGTAAAGCAGCAGTAAAATAGAAGGATCTCTTACCCTTTGAGACAGCCTGGAGGGACCTGGAGAGTGTTACGCTAAGTGAAATAATCCAGTCAGAGAAAGATAAGTATCACATGATCTCACTCATATGTGGAATCTAATGAATAAAATAAACTGATGACCAAAATAGATCCAGAAACATGGAAGCATGGAAAGGACTTTGGAATCTCAGAGGGAAGGTGGGGGAGGTCAGGAGGATGGGAAGAGATCAACCAAAGAACTTGTATGCATGTATGCATAACCCATGGACACATACAATAGGGTGATGAAGGCCTGGGGTTGAGGGGTGGAGAAGGGTTTGAAGAGGTTATGAGTAAAAAAAAAAGATATTTAAAAAAAACATAAAATTAATTTATTTTGTTTAACCTATCATGTCAAAATTGTAATAACATTTCAGCATGAAATCAATGTAAAAATTATTTAGAATATGCTGCATTCCTTTTCCATACTATTTAAAATTCAGAATGTTTATTATACTAAGAGTTCATTTTAATTTGGACTAGACTCAATTGCCAAATGGCTATATTGAATGGCATTACTCTAGTCCAAGTTAATTCATAGGAATAAGACATTCCCTACAGAGTATAAAGAACTTATTATAAACCAATTGACTCTGGTAAGTTTGATGGAAAAGGATGTACATGTAAGGAATGATATTATCTATATAATAAAGAGCCAGGGTTGTAACGTCTGTTATGCCGAAGGCTCGATCAGACCAGAAGTCAGTGCTGGGTTGACCTGGCAACCCAGTCCGACCCAGCACTGACTGCCTAGGGGCCTGTAGATCAGTCCTGGAGAGAGGCCTGCAGAGAGAGAGGCAGGGTCTGATCCGTAGCCTCTGTGGCAGCCGTTGATCAGAACTTGCCTCCATTTCTCTCCAGGCCTCTACTGGGGCTGCTGATCAGCCCCGCCTTTCTGATCAGGCCCCGTTGATAGGCCCAGAGATGCTGACTGGCATAGAAACTGACCAATCAGAACTAAATTGGCCGGCAGAGGAGGGCAGTTGGGGGCAAGATCAGACAGGCAGAGGCAGTTAGGAGCAATCAGGCCAGCAGGGGAGAGCAGTTGGGGGCGAGATCAGGACGGCAGGGGAGGGCAGCTGGGGGTGAATCAGGCCAGCAAGGGAGGGCAGTTAGGGGTGATCAGGCCGGCAGAGGCAGTTGGGGGTGAGAGCAGGCCAGCAGGGGAGAGCAGTTGGGAGCTGTATCAGACTAGCAAGGGAGGGCAGTTAGGGGCAATCAGGCAGCAGAGTGGTTAGGCAGAGGAGTTAGGGATGATCAGGCAGGCAGGCAGAGGGGTTAGGGGCAATCAGGCAGGCAGGCAGGTGAGTGGTTAGGAGCCAGTGGTCCCAGATTGTGAGAGGGGTGTCCGACCGCCAGTTGGACATCCCCCAAAGGATCCCCGATTGGAGTGGGTGCAGGTTGGGCTGAGGGAACCCCCCCTCCACGCATGAATTTCATGCACCAGGCCTCTAGTTTTTTTTTTTTAATATTTAGGTTTTCTTAAATCTATTTTTGATAATTTATTTTTCCTATATGAACACTGGAAAATTTGTTGTCATAAAAATGCCTATAGGATAAAAAAAAAAATCATCAGAACTGCTTGGTTTGAAAGCCAGGTTTTAACTATCTTGAGCATGAGGGAAAGGAGAAGGCAATTTCTGGTTAATTATAAAATCCAATGGTAGCATTAGATGCCTAAAACCAGAACCAGAAACTCAAGTGTATTATGACCTCTGTTGGTTTCATTTTTATTAAGGTAGACAATTCTAGATTTATGTCCACTTGGTTCATACTCAACAGAAAAGAGCATTATTTTCTAACTGTATCCATGGAAACCCCAGTCTGATTCCCATAGGCCTAAACTAGTTCACGTGCCTAATTCCTAAAGCAGTTTGTGGTCCTTGGGTGGAAATTGGGTAATTAAAATGTTCCATTGTCTTAGGTCCTGTGTCAAAAGCTGGAGCTGGTGATGGGCTGTCCCTCCCTTAATGAAATGTGGACAATGAGTATTTCATCAAAGAAAAATGAGAAGAAAAGATACAAGACTGGCAAAAGGTAGCAGGTGTCTACTCCATCTCATTTAACAGTTTTAAATGCACTTTATATCTATGGTTACATTTGTTTCCTTGGTCACAATGTTGTACATTTGGAATTTGTTTTTCTTGCCTAAAATTACTAAATTCTAAGTATTTTATCATAATTTTGAAAGACTAATCTACTGGTTTTATTTCTGCTTTCCTTTGTATTTAGTTTTTTTCCTGATACTATTTTATTAATCTCATGTGTGTGCACGTGTGTATTTTCCAGTCACTTCTGTGATTGACTGAAATTTTGGTAGGAGTCAGGAAAAATTTGATGGCTTTTACTCCTATGCTGCTGAGTCATATAATTATTTTCTGCATGTTTATTGTGCCATCCTAAATTAGGTGTGGCCCTTATGCCCTGCTGCCTCTGTTCTGAACACGTCACAATATGATTATTGGGAAGCTGCCATAGCAAATCCCAATTTCAGTCGTGAATCAGTTATCTTCGTGTGGGATTCAATAATTGTGCTTTGAATTTCCATTTTTGTTTTATTAATTTTACTAACTTTGACAATAACTGTATATGACTGTAACCAGGAAACAATAAATTTTATTTTTTAAAAAACACTTAAGTATATTCTAAAAACATTTTACTCATTCAAAAATACGTCTCCTTAGTTTGTAGATAGCCCTTATGCAAGTATAGGATAAGTGATTGTAAAATTGTAAAATTGGCCTCTTCTCCAAGACTCCCTTCTGAAAAATAACTTAAAAATTAAACACAATAAAAAGCCTGATTTTCCCTGCCCTTTTGTGTCTGGTGTGGTGCTCGGGAAGGGGGTTTTCCTGAGGATGGTTTTCATTGTTTTCCCGCAGTCCCTCGTCCAAAGTTAGGAATAAATAGACTCAATCACCTGGGGTCCCATCCAGCTTTTAATTTCTTGAATTCTTATGTTGCTTTGCTTTTTCCCTGAACTGCAGATTTTAGACTTTGTTTATATTGCTGATTTATAAAAAGAAAAAAATATCACCCCTAGCTGTGCTGAAAGTACATCTCCGATACACAAATCTCCTGCAGTGTTTACTCCTTCAGTAAGCCAAACAGTCCATTTCCCAACTGACTTTTATTTCTAATGCTTTTTGGCTGGAAGGAAAATAGCCGTACACTCCATCAGTTAATGGCCTTTATAAAATAATTCTGACTTATACAAGCATAACATTTTACGGATTTTCTTCATGTGACTTTCTTCTCATATTCAGATATCTTATGGGAACTGCTTCTCTTATCCAATTTATCAAGAAGTTCTTTGTTTAAGACACTTTAAATTTCATTTTAAATAATACTTTTTTCTTTTGTTGAGAATTAGATGTCGTGTATAGCTCCTTCGGAATAGTCTATAAGTGGTGTTCAAACCTCCACCCCTTGGGAAGAACCACTGTTTGTACACATTTTGAGAAAAACCTGTTGGTATAAGGTTATATTAACACATATTTCTTCAATTACATAATGTGCAGACATAATCTTAGTTTCACAAAAAGGTTATTTCGATCTATAAAGTGAGAATTGCAATTCTGGTGTTCTCACTGTTATCAAAGAGTAAACTAGCTTACTTTGAATGAGAAAACATTGTTTAATCTGAAATAATTTTTAATTTCTGCGCATATTTTTAGTTAGTAAAATAACATTTTGTATAGTAAAGAACAACTGGCAATAGATTTACATGAGGTTTTTATAGTCGTGAGTTTTCACTATTGCACATTTAAAAACACTTGGCTTTTTAAAAATATATGTATTTTTTATTGACTTCAGAGAGAAAGGGGAAGAGAGAGAGACAGAAACATCAAAATGAAAGAATTATTGGTCAGCTGCCTCCTGAGCGCCCCCCACTGGGGATGGAGTCCGCAACCCAGGCATGTGCTCTGACTGGGAATCAAACCATGACCTCCTTGTTCATAGGTCCATGCTCACTCACTGAGCCACGCAGACCAGGCAACACCTGGCATTTTTGTGCTGATTCATTCAGTCATTCAAAGCACTCATTTTGTGCCAGGTGCGCCCTGTCTCTCTCTCCCTCTCTCTCTCTTTTCCATCCTCACCTGAAACATTAATCCATTACCTCCCATAGTGCCCCAACCGGGGATCGAACCTGCAACATAGGTATGTGCCCTGGCCAGGAATCAAACCTGCAACCCTTTGAGGATGACACTCCAACCAACTGAACCACCCAGAACTTAAGCAAGCACCTTGCTTAAGTTCTAGACACTTTGAAGTGAAAAGAACCCCTTCATGTTTCCTGCCCTTGTGGGGCTTAAAGAAGAGTGAATGGGAAGGATATTATATGTATGATTAACTCAAATAATGGTTTAACTAAGTATTCCATAAAGAAAAGCTACTCAGTGCTATGAGAAAAAGTAATAAAGGCACTAACTTGGAAGTGACATTTTAGCTGAGATAATGAGTCCAAGACAATAAGAAGCAAGAGTGTTCTGTCAGAAGGAATGGCATATGTGAAGGGCCTGGGTCAAGAAAGAACATAAAATAACTGAGAAACTAAAAGGGTCATGCTATTGAAGTTGTAGAAGTATTGTAAGATAAAGATAAGATCCTATCCTCTAAAGCTAAATGTCTTGTTTCAACGATTTTTCCACAGTTGTATTTTTTTAGTGGCTCCTGATATCTCAACCTCTAAGTGAATTCACTGGATAGTGCACTCAGCATACATATAAATAAAGCTCATCTTCCCACACAGCTGCTATTACTCACCCAAGCATTCTCAAATGATTTTCTCTGCCCTAAGCACTGTTCACCTCATAGGGAGCAAAACCCTGCACAAAATTTGGGCCAGACCCAGAGCAGAATAGAGAAGTGTTCTGATACCTGTCCCTCTCCCTAGCCCTCCTATTGCCTTATTGCTCTCTCAATCTTTTATCCTCCAAAATTCTAACTCTAGGGGACTCACTGTCTCCTTACCTATAGAAAAAGTATGCCATTCATAACAGCAAAGATAATTAACATATTTATCAGAAGTAGTCTCCGATGCACAGATTACAGTGTCGTTGAGAAAGATAAGCAACTATGTAATGTAAGCTTATGCCTCAAAACTCTCCTCCCACCAAAATCCCTGGATTCTACCAGACTGGTTCTTTGGCAACATTGTGGACTGATTAACCCTCCATCCCT